TGGGCAGAGGGTGGAAGGGCAGAGGGGATAGTGGGGTCAGAGGGTTGGGGATCCCAGTGAGAAGGTTGGGCCAAAGTGAGTTTTCCTTGGGGAGCCTTGGGAGTTCTCTTCAGCCAAGGAGAAAATCTAGGAAGTGAGGACGGCGTGGAGGAAACCGAGCCTCTCAGGGGAGGTGATGGCCGCGGACCCTCGTCTGGCAGGTCGCAGACTCCACATCTGCCTCTGTCCCACGGCCTGGCTCTCAGCCACCGCTCCCCACCTCTGTCTGGAAATGGGCGTCTGAGGGGCTCGGGCGTGTGGGAGGAGCTGCGGCGGTGTCGGGGGATGCAGGCGTCGGCTGTACCCTAAATCCTGAGTCAGTCTTCCCTCCTGTCCCCGGGCGAGTCCCGCTCTCCAGGGCTCTGGGGGCTCGTCCCAGCCTGCGCTGCTCGAGCGTTTCCTGAGTAGCGGTTGCTCCCCGGGGGTGACTGGCGGTCCGATCGGTATCAGTGACCCACTTCTGAGAAGAAAGAACAGGAAGAGGGGGCCGAGCGTTGGTTGTGGTGTGCAGGCTGCACACCGACGGGGCAGCGGGGATCCGGGGGCGGCCTCCACCCCGCCGTGCCTCCGTGGCCAGCCACACTCCATGGCTGAATTTTGCCCATGGGGAAGCTGAGCTCTGAGGATGAGTGGCCATCTCTGCCCCTCCACAAGTCACCAAGTCAGATCTGACTCTTGGGGCAGTCCCTCCTCCGTCCCACACCCCACTTTCTTTGTCAAATGGACCTGAGGACTCAGGGCACGATGGCATAGTCTTGTAATCCCTGCACTCGGGAGGCTGAGGCAGGAGGAATGCTGTGAGTACAAGGCTGGCCTGGACAACACAGCCAGACCTGTCTCAAGAACAAAACAAACAAACAAACAAACAAAAAACAGACCCGAGGTTAATCTCCCCTTGGAGGCCAGCTGATCCTCCACATCTGACCCAGGCCGGGGCCGGTGCAGTTTCACGCACTTCCTGTTTTGATGTGAGCACATCCCAGACCTGACAAAGGGCCTGGGAGCCATGGGGCAGGGTCCCAGCTCCACCTGGGCTCTGAGAGGCGGCGTCCTGGTTTCCCACAGGATCGTGGATGTCGGCGGCCAGAAGTCGGAGCGCAAGAAATGGATTCACTGCTTTGAGAACGTCATCGCCCTCATCTACCTGGCATCGCTTAGCGAGTACGACCAGCGCCTGGAAGAGAACAACGAGGAGGTAAGGGCCACGTGCCCCTCGCCGTCCCTGAGCACCTCGAGGGGTGGGAAGTTCCGTCTGCCCAGAGACAATGACTCCAACCAGACAAGATGACTGAGGGGATTCCAGCAGAGCACGCGTGGGCCTGGCCACGAAGGCCATGCTAGGGTCCTGGGGCCAGCGACATAAAGCAGCAACACAGGATGGCTTCGCTGGCTGATGCTGATTTACCCCCTGGGGGCTGCAAGTCTGGGTGGAGGCTGCGAGGAGCATCTGTGTCAGGTCCATCCCCAGCCCTGGCCCTGCTGGGGACCTCGGTATCCGTGGCTCATAGCAATGTCACCTGGGTCACTGCCTCCACCTTCACCCTGCACCCCGCCCACCGTATACGGTCTTCATCCCCATCTCCTTCCTTATTTACTGTTCTTGTTTTTGCAGTACCAGGGCTTGATCCCAGGGCCTCACTCTGAGCTCCATTCCTAACTCTTTTTATTTTTCATTTTGTGACAGGGTCTTGCCCTGTCACTAAGTCACTCAGGCTGGGCTTCAATTTGGGATCCTCCTGCCTCAGCCTCCCAGAGTGCTGGGATGTCAGGTGTACAGCACCACACTTGGCTCACGTTTTCCTCTTTTCATAAGGACACCTGTGTTGAGGTTAGCAGGGCCTCTGGTCCAGCCTCAAAGACCCTATTTCCAAATAAGGTCACTGTCTGATGTGGCAAGAGGACACGGCTTTGGTGGACAGTCCTCAGCTCCACGCACATGGGGTCACACAGGCTGCGGGCCTGGTCCCCGCATCCCCGGGAAGTGGGTGCAGCCCAGGCTCAGGGTCTCGCTGAGGCCAAGCTGGCCGCATAGCCCCGCCCCACTCCTCTCCTCTCCCGCAGAACCGCATGAAGGAGAGCCTGGCCCTGTTCGGGACCATCCTGGAGCTGCCCTGGTTCAAAAGCACCTCGGTCATCCTGTTCCTCAACAAGACCGACATCCTGGAGGAGAAGATCCCCACCTCCCACCTGGCCACCTACTTCCCCAGCTTCCAGGGTGAGTGGTCGCTGGGGATTCTGGGAGCTCTGTCTCCTCACAGTTGCGCCCAAGGGCAATGCCCCCCCACCTGCCCCGGGCCAGGGGGGAACAGGAGGGGATCTGAGTTCCCCGCCCATCGACTTCCTCTGCCAACTCCTGTGACCCTCAGTTTCCCTGTCTGCAGAATGGGGATTAAATTGGCTGTGGTAGAGGTGCACACCTGTCATCCCAGCACTCGAGAGGCTGAGGCAGGAGGATCGCCAGCCTGGACTACATAGTGAATTCAAGGTCAGCCTGAGCTACATAGTGAGACCCTGTCTCAAACATATAAACAACTTTTAAAAAAAGAATTGGAGATTAAATAGAAGAGGTCCTGGTACCAGATGTAATAATGTAGAAAAGGAAAAAATTCTAAAAAGACATGAATCGGGTGCTTTTTTGCTTTCCGTGCTGAGCGTACAGCCTATGGCTTCAACCATGCCAAGCAAGTGCTGGTCACTGAACTATATACCCAGTACTTTTTAATTTTATTTTGAGACAGAGTCTCACTGAGTGGCCCAGGCTGGCCTTGAATTTGTGGTCCTCCTGCCTCAGCCTCCCAAGTACCAAACAGGAACATCTTCTGAGGTTTTGAATGGATATGAGTTTGGGAGGCTGCTGTTCACCCTACTGTGCATCCCCCCTAGGAGATAAGGGGTAGGATGTGCTCGGCCCTAGGTCCGAGGTCAGTAAGTATAAGGCTTGGTGGCAATGCCAGGGTTTGATCTTTGGGGCCTGGCCACATTTCACAGCCCATGAGGCCAGTCTTTGCCACACCCACAAGGCAGAGGGTCTGGAAGACAGAGGTCGGGTGTTCTCCGTGTGGCCTGGACACCCCTCCCCGCTTCCCAGCTGAGCAGTGCTGTGAATCGGGCGTGGCTTAGAGTTTGGGAACAAGATTGGCTGATAGTTTTTTTTTTTTTCTAGACAGGGTCTTGCTATGTAACCCAAGCTGGCCTCAAACTCACAGTGATCCTCCTGCCTGAGCCTCCCATGTGCTGGCATGACATGCATGCGCCACCATGTCTGGCTGGCTGATACTTTTTGTTTCTTGGGCTTTTCTGGTACTGGGAATTAAGCTGAGGGCCTTCACACTGAGCCACATCTGAAGCTGTTTTTAATTTTTCTTTTTTTTTTTTTGAGACAGGGTCTTTGTAAGTCACTAAATTGCCTAGGTTGCGCTTGAACTTGTGATCCTCCTGCCTCAGCCTGCAGAGTGCTGAGATGACAGGCGGGTGCCACCACACCCTGCCTGGAGTTTTCAGCTTTAACGCCTGTGCTTCCTTGCCTTTTTGAAAGAGCTATTTATTAATCACTGAGTCCTCACCATAATGCTGAATCCTGGTGACAACTCTGCCCATTTTACAAATGGGGAAACTGAGGCTCACCGTGGTTACAGGGATTAACATAATAGCTAATCCAACCAGTGAGAGCAAAGCCAAGCCTAGACCTCCAGAAGCCCTAACTTTACAGTTTTTCTTATGTATGTATAAGATGTGATCAAAAAATACAGTGACAGCCGGGCGTGGTGGTGCACGCCTGAAATCCCAGCACTCAGGAGGCTGAGGCAGGAGGATAGTTGCGAGTT